TATGAAATAACTTTAGCGCGGCAGTCTTCGAGTGCTATAGGTATTAATATTTTTTATTCCTTTTTGTTATATCATTCAAACAAGCGTTGCCAGAGAAAAATAAAAGTTGACGTTGGTATAATTGTATAAAAAGTAGTCAAGTTGTGAGTTTCGTAGTCGAGCGAGAGTTTACTGAAAATAATTTGTTTATTCATAAAATACTGAACAATATAAAGTTTAAAAAATATTTTACTTTAGTATTTTAATAATAAACTTATTAGACGAACTTCTCATCATTTCATGGATTCACGGTGCGGGTGCCGGGTCCTTGCTTGCTTGCGTCTTGCAGTTAGGACTGAGTGTCATTTCAAGGAATAGATATAGGAGTTCGGTGTATACGCTTAGGGATTCTATGAGTCGTAAAGAATATATGATTGTTTTTTGTAAAATTGGACTTATGTGAATTACTAACACTAGGTACCATATACAAACGTACGTAGGAAATAAAAATATGCAATAAAAGAAAAGGGAGTACATCCCCAGTTTCAACCTTCGGCATTGTGTGTGATAGTAAGCAGTAGCTAGTCGGCATCATCAAAGGTCGGGCGCTGAACTCTCAAAGAAATTTTGCGGCTATTCGGAAGTACAAGGTCAAGATACACGTGCGGCGGCTTCTTTTGCGCATACAAACAATCGTCACCGCCGCACCGAACGCACTATATTTGACACTATTTGATTGCCGACAAAAAAGCCTGAATAAGCAAATAAAAAATAATACATTAAATATAGTAAGCATCAAACTTAATTGAAGTATCGAAATAATAAAAACGAAAAATAACTATATACAATATATGCGTAATCAAATCAAATGTGTAATCAAATTATATAGTACGTTACCGAGAAACTGTATATTTTCTTAATATTTCAAATGTTTAAGTCTAGCTTTTAATAATCATTAATAAGGTTATCTATCTTTTTAATTATTATTGAAGCTACAAAGGAGCGAAATGCGGAACACTAAAATGTTATGCGTCTGTACGCCCGCACGCGGCATTGTTTGATTTGGGGCGGTATCCTTTTACTTAGAGCCGACAAGTGCCAAACCGGCGCGATACAAGGTAAACAAACAATGTTAACAAATGGAGTATGTATAAAAAGAAGTATGTATTTATTTTAATTTCAAATACAGTTGAAACTCGATTAAGCGAACTTATCGTTGTCGATAGGTGTGGCGTAGCCTATCTTTGTTGTGTGATTTGTATTTCTATGTTTTAATATTTTTTTTATTAATTTAATTATTAGTCGTAGACTAGTTTGTATATACGTAAGTTAGACTCCGCCCCATTGCGGGGCGACGTCCCCCCGCGGGCCCTGCCGCCGGCCAGCCGTCGCTTCACAACTAGGTATGTAGTATAATAATTAATTGTTTAGTACGCTCCAGCTTCCGGGCCCGGCTGCACGTCGCTCGTATGCTCGCTGGCCTATTACATAATATGTACCTTTAACTTCAACGTATAGTAAAGTCTCTTATCGTTTACTTAAAAACTTAAAGTAGCGATACTAAACTGGTGACCCCGACTTGATATGAACAAATATAGGCATTCGGATAATCGAATGAATGAAAAAATGCGGGTTTTATACATGTATTGTACATAATGTTATATGTTTATTTAAAAAAAAGTAACAAATGCATATCAACGATAATCAGTTTTTGTTAATAAATAATAACGCATAAAGGATACATTTTCTTAGGTTACATATACTTACTTGTATGTATTAAAAATGCAGATTTAATAATGAAATAAATTACAATATGTATTTGTTAATTTGCAATTGGTAACCATGAATTAAAATAATAAGTTTAATTTGCTTTAAATATTTGGTAATTGTCATTTGACGTACGCCACTCTCAACAATGCACCACTCTTACGCTTTGACGTTTTTAAACGGTTTTATTTAGCTCACCCCGTTTGTTTTATTTATTATTTATTCTTGGGTCAAATTTAGTAATTCAAATTTCACACTCTTCCTGTCAACCGATTAATCTGAAATTTTGTATACACTTTGGATTTTGATGACAATACAATCATGTTTATTCATTATCATTATAAATTCAAGATGGCCGCCGCTACAAAATGGCTGATAACATTTTTTTAGAGGAGTTGGACTGCAATAAACTAACGGGCAAGAAACCTTGCAATAATGAAGCACAAATGAATTAAACAGAATGCGCAATAAAAACTAAAAACTAGAAAATAAAAATAGGTAAAAAAACTAAAGATGACGTACATTCATACTACGCTCCGCTTGGATTTAGTTCATGTACGACATATACATACTTACCTCTGGCATAGCTATAAGTTGCAACGCTAACGACACTTAATGCGACAGATATAATGCGTTTGGGCATGATATAGAAAAGGATAGCTATATATTTCAATGATATAGAAAAGGATAGCTATATATTTATATGATATAGAAAAGGATAGCTATATATTTCAATGATATAGAAAAGGATAGCTATATGTTTCGAGTTAATATTCGAATCGAATAGGTTTATACTCCAACCAAATTCGATGTGGAATGTGAATTTTATTAAAAGGGCGGCATAGACTCGAATAAAAAATATCGATATTTAAAAAAATCATAACAATAAATAAATATTTCATATTCATATTATTTCGATAATTATTTTGATATATCAAACATTAATATTATTTTTGATTGTGAAACACCATTTTTAACAGAAGTAGGTTAACGATTTATCCTAATAATACAAAATTATTAATTTACCTGAAAAAGTTCCAAATTATAATATTGATTAACAACAATTATTATTAATAAAAGTTATTTTGAATGAAATTACATATTTTAATGTGAAAAGCATAACTGTTTATAGCAAAATTGAAAATATCGATAGAATATTTATCGATATACCTAATTTTTAAACTTGCAATTCGCTATCCGAAAAAATAATAATAATAACTCCGGCGGCCCGGCGCCTGCTATGAATGGCCGCGCGTGCGCCCGACTATACGGCGCCTTAACTGTTTATGGAGCAGATGTTTGAACATTTTTTCAATAATGTCGATTTAAGACTTATTTAGCCTACGCACTGTAACTGACCTCTGCTTGATATTTTTTAAGTTATGTAATTTTTGAGCCATTAAACAACTCTTCTATATACTTTTAAGTAAATATTATATAGGTACATACAAGTACAAATCGTTTTCTCAATTTACTCCTGTTGAAGTATGTTCTGTATTCTAGATATTCTCTTAGGAAGCTTCTGAACGAAAGGTAATTTGTATTTTAATGGCAAATCTTTAACAAAGTTGAGGTTATTGATCTACCGTTTCTTAACAGATTATGGGAAGCCTGATAGTTCAACCATTTTGCTGTGTCCTTCCTTGATTACCAATATTGTTTTAATATTTTTGGATCTTACAAAGATTTTAGTAAAAATTATATTTAAAATTATAATAATTTTAAGGGGACTTAAACAACTACTATATGAATTGTTAAAGTTTAATATTTTTAATATTGTTGTTTCTTTAAGATAAGTTATATGTTTATAAACAGTTATTATTAAACAGCTTCAGTATATACCTACATATCAAAGCGTATTTGGAGAGTAAGAAATGTTTTAGTCAGTTTGAGGCGTCATATAAAATTTTAAATTACCGTTTTAAATAGTAATTGCGTTGGTGTTATTTATGAATTTGAAACTTTGTTTAAAATAATTTCGAGTGTACACGAAATATAAAAAATATATTATTATTATCGTAAAGAACATCTCAACATCGCTTCAACTTTTTCTTTTTCAATATACATGTACTGATTTACGTATACATATAGTGCTGCCATTAAGCAATTTGAATTTAACTTTGTCCTATTTGTTTTTAACTTTTCGTTATTGTTGAGCATTTCTACTTTTTCGCTATTATATCGCCACATAAAAACTCATTACAGAATATTTTTATAACACCTAGAGCTCAGAGTATCAGCCATGAGGCGAGGCTGACGACGCGTACTTTTTTTATAATTATTTCTATAAATCCATTATCACTTCCCTTGTTACATATATCGAATTTTTTATCATAATTTTATATATAATTTTTGATACAAAGAATAGGTTACTTGAATTTGATCAGAATGAAATGGAACAGAATCTTAATAAGAGATGCTGAAGAAAATGTATTTTTAAACCTTTATATCTAAAAATATTAACCCACTTAACTTTATTTATTACTTTATGGTTTAGTAACTTTCAATTAACTCGGATCATCAATTTCATATTTTAAACTTGATTAACTATAAAAATTTTCTACTTTTAATTTATATAATATTTACTTGTTATAATTTTGTATTATTTTTATATACTTACATATTAAACTACTAGGGTAAAACCGGGATAGATGCCGCGCTGGGATAGATGCCTCGTTTCTAAAAACTCAACTACCAGAGAACGAAACAGCAAATTCGTTGTTTACATACGCGCCACATGCACCCCCCGCCTCAGGGACGCGCGAGTTGTTGTGCTAGACGGACGTTTCTCGCTTGTGTGTCGAATTACATTCGTAGCGGACGCAACGAACGCTTCAAAATTTCAAAGGTAAGTATTCACTATTCCATATCTTTATAAACGGTTAAATGATTACATTTTATTTGAATTGTTTTAATACATTGGTTCTTTGAGAACACATTTAAGAGTCAATCACTGATGTTTGCATTTATTTTATTTATAAAATATTGAGAGGCATCTATCCCTAGTGAAAAGGATAGTTGCCCCGAGTTTACAAAGGATAGTTGACTTTAGGGGCATCTATCCCTCTATACTGCAAGAGCCTTATCGAAGTATTTAAAAGTCATAGTCGTGAATATTTTCGTATTTCCTAATAGTAGAATATTAGAAAACACCAAAAAAATGTATCCAACTTTAATTTCATAATTCGAATGTGATGAGATGAGTGTAGATACAGTGTTTTATTTATACTTACTTTGCTTATTGTAGGTGAGCCATGCCAAGGAAATACAAAAGAAAGGAGGGCGTACGAGCTCGAGTAGTTTCTTGGACAACAGAGCAGCTACAATCAGCTTTCCATGAATTGGATAAAAAAGAATTGGGTATCAATGAAATATCCAGACGATTTGGGATTCCATCCAGAACATTGCGAAGGCGTTACGCTATTAAAAACCAAACTAAGCTAACTTTGGGAAAACATCCTGTCCTGGGTTTTGAACACGAAAAAAGGTTGGTAGCGCACATTTTGAAGCTTAGCGACGCGGGATTTCCCCCAGATAGATGAGCTATACGTACGTTAGCATACCAATTTGCCGAAAAGCTACAGATTCAACACAATTTTGATAATGAAAACCAGATGGCTGGAAATGAATGGGTCAAAAGTTTTATTGAGCGAAATCCAGAGTTGTCTATTAGGCAAGCAGAAGGCTTATCTGTCGCTAGGGCTAAAGGTCTTAGCAGAAAAGAAGTGAATAATTTTCATGAACTTCTGACAAAAGTCCTGGCCGATAATGATCTCTTGGATAAGCCTGAAAGGATTTATAATATGGACGAATCAGGAGTTCAGCTCAACAATAAGCCTGGCAAAGTTGTTGCAAAGAAAGGTGCAAAAGTAGTAAATTCAGTTACATCTGTGGAGAAAGGTGAAACAATGACTATCGTAGCCTGTTGCAATGCCATTGGTAATTTTAAGCATTTTATATTACCTACACATGAAGATAATAAATAAATATTACATTGTGATTACGTGTTCTTGTTAATTATTTAAAAAGGCATCTATCCCGCATCACAGGCATCTATCCTCCTAAGTGATTTCATAGTGGGGCATCTATCCATATAGGTAGGCACCTATCCCCAAAAAATGTGTTTCGCAAGAATTACATTTTTGCAAAACCAGTAATGGTTAGGTAAATAAATACAGTTTCTAAAGCTTTATGAATGATTAAACTAACTATATTACAGGGTCAATCTAAGCAAATATGTTTAGTATTCAAATAATGAAACACTTTCGAAAAGTGGGGCATCTATCCCGGTTTTACCCTACCTGTATTGAATGATTCATATTCTACGCTAATATAACAATTATTTAATTATATAAATAGATAAAAAAATAATAGAATAATTGATGGATCCATCAAAAGACTGATATATTTTTGTAAGACATTTGTTTACCCGTAGACTGTAAAAGTAATAAAATATTAGTAACATATAAGATAAAAGTATGGGAAAATGTATTACTATATCTCTGGTCGTTTCCTTAACTACATATGTATAACCTTTAACCTATGTAGATATATAAATGGGTTTTTGCAATAATTTATCTTTGTAGCATTATTATTTTAACATCAAAGTAAATAATGAAATCTTTTATTAGTAACTCTTATATGCTATATAAACGATCTAACAAATGACTAAGATGAGGTAATTATAGATATTATTTTTATAATGAATTTTGTGAATCTTATTTGGTTTAAGCTTTATTTAGCTAAGAATTCCCTTAATATTATTTTATTCATATTATTTTTTCAGAATCTTATTTGAACTATTAAAATATATTTATTGGTTACGTTTTTAGGATCTTTACAGTAACAGTGATAATGGGGAGACGAGATGAAAAATAAAATTTCTAGTATACTGTTCTTATGTACGCAAATGCTCTGAGTCTTGTGAAATTGCGGTGTGGTCATCACACTTTTTTTCTTCACATTACCTTTTAAACAGAAGATAGAAAACATGAACAAAGTTTCCCATTGTTGAAAAGACATTATAGATTATTTTTTGATAATTAGCGGATTACAAAACGACGGTAAACTAGATTTACAGTTGAGTAGCCATTAATTATCTTTCTCTTCCCCGCTCAATTAAAAACTGTTCACTATATGATTCAACTAACTCCAAAATTTCTTTTCTGAGCCTCTTTTTATTTTACCTCAAAGATACCTTATATTTTAACTGGCTATTAAGTTAAGGCCTAACAGCCTTTAGGTTTCTAGCAAATGAGGGCTACAGTGGTGATTTCACAGGTGAACCTTAAAATGTTTACCTTGTCGTAGAATTACCAAGGGAAGAAGTTAACCATGAGATACTGTAATGGTTTCAATGTTTAAAGGATATTCATTGAACATATACTAGAAACAAAAGATTTACAGCGCTCTTTTTGTCTAATGAGTTCAGAATATTGTTACCGTAGTCATCTAATTTGTCAATCGGTTATTTTTCTGAAACCCACACCATTAACAATAAAAACAAAACAAAACGCAATTTTCAATATTATCTATTGAAAGAAAATAAAATCACTATTTTCAAGAAAAAAATATAAGTCTTGCATGCCCCTATAAATTCTGTAGATAAAAAAATAGTCTCATTAAAAAAATTTCAATCAATAAATGTTAACTATTTGTCCCAATCGTTAAAGCTAAAGTTGTTTTTATTAATAAAATATATCCAGTGATATTTTAATCCTAGTGTTAGTATGGAAGATAATGGAAATGGTAACCATAGGTTCAAGATTAATATAAAAATAAACTGTTCTCAGTAAATATCAATAACAATATATTATAAAACCATTTTACTTGTTAGAAAAGTCGGTTGGGGATGATTTATTAAGTTCTCAATAAATTATATTAAGTCGAAACTCTCACTTTTGTAAATTTTTTATTCTGACACGAAGGCCGCATAAGGGTAAAAAGTCGAAGGAATTTTTGTCTTGCATATTTAAAATCTTAATGGTGTTTCTTTTCTTTCAAGAAAAATAAGTGAGTATTTTTTAGGATTTTCTTTGTATGGTAAAAATATATTTAAAAAAATAAAACAATCAAAATGTTTTGTCAATGTACTCAAGATAAATAAAAAGTAATAAAAACTTGAATACAATAGAGTTTAAACTAAAATAAATTTGAAACCAATTGCGTCTACAATATGCACTTATTGAGAATACAGACGATATAAAACATTTCTTTTTGTTTGATAGTATCAGTAGCGATATTTATTTAAAATATCGTATAATTCAATTTAAAGATAAGGATTTTTAGAATTATAATATTTTTTTAGTATCAATCATAAAAAATATACCACTTGTGCCTTTTATATTTAAAGTCCTTCTTAAAATTTTGCTTAAACAACAGAATTCAATTCTTACGATTCGTTAGTTTCACACACGGGAATGAGGGTGAGCTTTTACTATAGTTTCAGCTTGAATATTTGAATGAGAGATTTTTCGTTATGTCGTAAAATTTTCGGTGAACAAGAAAATTTAAAAAAATATTTCAACAATTAAAAGAAAGTATTTTGCATACATTTCTTTTACTGGTAGATTTAATGGCTCTCATTATATGTATAAACAGCACTGCAAGGAAGGGGAACATAAAATTACAGTCTACTTTCCCTACTTTTTTCATATAGAGAATTTTTTTGTTATCAAATTTACTATGTCAAAAAGACTTATCAACATTAAAAGCATATTTTGTTAGTCATTAATATTTATTTCAATGTAAAAAACGTGGTTCTTTTTATATTTAAATAAAAAAGTATTTTAAATTGATTTGAAAACTATTTTGTTCTTTAAAATGTTAGTATAAAATTTTATTGATTTAAAATGCATATTTTCAGTGACAGTTTAAATGTCGAATAGTTGTTGTATATATCGGATTTATTAGACATTCGTTGTTTTAAAACAGAGAGACGCCAGCCTCGCTGACGTTACTAAATGTCACTTCTTCTAATACGTTCCATGATATTTTAAAATGAAACTTCAATTGTTCTTAATGCTCCTGTATTTCTCGAAGGTTCTTCAGAATCACATACTTCAATGATACGCACTCACTTCAGTGAGTTCACTCTCAATTCTCAATTCTGAATTCTGCCGTCGTGAGTCCAGACGTCATATTTATACCAAGATTTAAACATAGTTCTATTCTCGTTTTGAACAATGTTTGACTTCGTTTTACTTTTAAGTTTTAACAATAATCATAAATACTAATGAGGTTTAATAAGAATTGATGACGGGCTCAAATTATTTTCATGTCGCATCCGTTATTAAAGCTGGTAGCGCCGATATATACTATTTAATACATTTTTAATTTTATTATAAAATTACGTTTGTGTTGTTTTAAAAAAAATTTTTTGATAAATAAATCAAATAATTATTTGTGTGTAAATTTCACACTATGAGATTTACTCATATTTATATATATACACACATTAACTAATTATTATTAAACAAAATAGAAAATCAGACAACAGACCTAACGAGTCTTTTAATTCAAATGTCAATACTATAAAAGTTAGATAAGAAAAATGAAATCGCTTGAGCAGAGAACAAACACAATAGAAAAAGCTTAAACAGGATTGGCAGAGACAATAATTAGCTCTCTCCTTGAATGTGACTATAACTTGGGATGAGATTTAATATGACTTGTATATTTTAAAATATCTGACGGTTTTATTAGTTAATATGTATAAGATTTTTAGCTATGATTTTGCACGGGACCACTAGTTTGTGAAGAATATATTTATAATCATATAGTTGACATGCAATTCGGTTCATATATTTTAATATGTGATAAAAAGAAAGAAAAAATTATGTTTATCGTAATGGGTTGCCTGGTTTGAATATTTTTGCATTATTTTTGAAATCGTAAGGTTAATAAAAAAATACTCTTTGGTATACTACAGTTTCGTTATATATCTTTGAATTGTATTTAAGTTCTTTATTTTCTTTCCTGATGGGTTTAATTAACTCCAAACTTTCCAAGTATAACAGTTACGTATTTATTCAAACATAATTGAAACGAATGAAGGAAGTGATTTCTTGCCCAAAACCCTATGTAGTGTTACCTAATGAAAAGAATACTTGATTTCGTTAATAATGCATATCATATGATTACATTAAAACCTTTTTATAATTCATAACCAACGATTAATTATGATAAATTAATTTGTATACCAAACCTAATAAATTTTAAGATTAAACGCCAATAGTATTATAATTATATTTCACTCTAAGAGGTTGATCTTTATTTTATTTTCATACTAACGTCTTTAAAGTATTTTTAAACAAAATTAGTTTGACTACAAAAGGGGTTTTTCTCCAGACCAGACATAAAAAGGTACCTTCTGAAGCTTCCACGTTATCAGATAGCGAAGTAGGATTAAAAGGACTAGAATCAGAAACCTGCTGGAGTTATTTTCATTCTATTGAACAATAAAAACAATACACCATCTTATCCTTGACAGCCACGATTATAAATTAATAAGTTTAGAATTTAGCAAAAAAACTTTCGGCGTTTTCAAAAGTATATCGCAAATTAATCAGTTTTTATTTGGAACCGCTTATTTTTGCTAAATGCATTAATAAAATAGGTAGAATGCAAAAAAGATAGTACTAGTTAACAAAAAACTAGACCGATTAAAGGCATGGCTTTTAAAGTGGACATAGTAGTGAGTGAGACCATTAAAAATGCAATAAAAACATAAATTAAGGCATTTTAATAATTGTTTATTTAAAAAGTGATCAAATCGGAAATGAATACGGATGATTCTGATCAATTAGTTTCACATGTTTAAGAGCATATGATTAAAATTGAAAACCATAAGCCAGTGTACAAAACGGAGATTAGAAAACTTTTGAGTATTAAAAAATAAATATCATGTTGTAATATTAAACGACCTATGATCAAGAAAGATTTCATTGATTTCCTTCAATCATTACGTTTCTATTGAAAAAGTACC